GGAAGATGATGTTGGAGAATCTTCTAGGTGTTGGGGCAGATTAATAAAAGCAAAGAATGAAAGGGGAAGGAAAAAGAAAAGAAATGATTTTATGTTTGCTTGTCTGAGAGATAAATAATACTAATAACGGAACAAGTAGAGTAAGGAAAAATATGTATGATAACGGCTTTGCCTTCTAAAAACTCTCAATTCTCAAAAGAAGAAAGACTACCCCTTGCACAGGGCACGTTTGGGACCCAGTTTGTCAAAACCCTAATTACTATTTGTTTATGTTTTTTTGTTTATTATTTTGTGTTTTATTTTCGAATTGGAAACAAGTTGATTTATCTAAAAAATGCAATTCTTTCTTAATGTTTCTATCTCCCTTCATTTTCTCAGTTGTTTCTTTGATTATTAATGACACATAAATTAGCAGGCTTGTTCATAAAATCTTTAAAAAAAATAACAATACTTACTTTCTTAATTATAATGAATAATTTCCTCTTTATAGCTTATATTATGACCCATCAACTTTAAGAAGGAGATTTTGGGCTTCGTTTGATTAGACAGAATCGAATCAACGAGAAAAGAAATGAAATAGAAAATTTTGAAACTTTTTAAGAGGTTGGTTAGATAAAAAATGAAAAGTTCTGGCTTGCTTGGTTTGTAATTATAGAAACAGTTTTATGTTCTCGAAAAACTAAAAACAAAAAATGTACAAAAAAAAAAAACTCTACTTGGTTCAATTTTCTGAAAACTCAGTTATAAAAAGGTTTATTTTCACATAACAGTCTTTTATAGCTCTCTGAAAACTATTCTCTGTTTTTTGAATTTCTGAGAACTATTTTTAGAATTACAAACCAAGCATGCCAAGATTCTCGTAACTCAAAATGTTTTCGATATAAAATACGGGGAAATTTTATTTTTACGTGAAAGGAACATCTTTTTATTTTATGCTCCTATTTTACCCATTAACTTCATTACATTATTTTACACAACAACTTTATCTTATTTTTTTATTGAATTTCAAAAATTGCAGTTTAACAATAACTTTATCATTGATAGGGTTTTAATTAACTTGACTTTCATTTTTTATTGTTTTCCATCATATATGAATGAAATAAATAGTAGTTTACAAGGCTTAAACTAATTGAAAACTCCATTATTTTTTTTATATACGTACTACCAATTAATTTTTATTATTTTACCATATTTAAAAAATAAGGGCAAATTAGGTATCTAAATATGATATTTTTTTACAATTTTCTTAGATAATTTTTCATTTTAACCAAATATATACTAGAAAATCAATTTTCTATTCATTCACTTCACTTTTCTTTTCATTTTTCATTTTCTTTCTTTTCTTACTATTTTGATCTAACCAAACGGAGTCCTACTAAATGAGAAGACAATTATTGTTCTAAAGAATAAAAAATACTTCGTACTACCGAGAATTTGTTAGCATTGGTCCAATCAAAACGGGATATACTAAAAAAATAAAAAGTACTTGAATTACTAAAACATCTCCATCCCCAAACAGTAGAGGAAGATTTCGAACTTATATATGAGCAAATAATGTGTGTGAGTACTAGTTAGTAAATTCATGTATGATACGCGAATTAAACGTGTACGTATGAATTTTGAAAAAATACTCTCGTTTGCTGATCAAAGTTGAAAGATACGGTAAAATACGCGTTTTTTTATTCATCATCCCGTATGTAACGCGTTTATTCGTTTATTCGTTTTGGTTGCTCCGTTTAATTCGTATTTATACTTTAGGGTAACTTAATTGTTTTTTTTTTTTTTTTCTATTTCATTCTTGTTTCTAATATTTTTCTCAAACACACATTCTTAATACAAACTACCGTCTTTTGTTTGGTATAGCCCTTCTCTTTCACACCATCAAAATAATACTATTTGTTGTGCAATCTCAGGAAAGGCTGCAACCACTCAATTGTTCTATTATCACTCTATTTTTTTTTATTTTTTTTTATCTCTTATTATTGTCAATCCAATGCTTGATATTTAATCAAAGTAATGAAACACATATATATACCTTGTAGAACACTATATTGATGTTTGTAGGCATTTATAAATTATTTGTTTTATTTTAAGATCTTTTAAATTTTGTTAGTATCTTTATTATTATTATTATTTTGGAAGTTTGTAAATCACCACATTCACTAGATGTTTTAGTAGAACATAAAGATATTTTCACAAATATCATACCATATACTTATGCATTTATTATAAATATATAGGCTATCACGAAAATAATAATAATAATAATAATTAAAAAAAAAAAAAAAGAAGAAGAAGATGCATTTTGAGATTATGTTGAACAAAACTCTAACTATCATGGAGGTATTTCAATAGTCAAATCACATTTATCCGGGATAAAAAGGTAGAGATATTGAAATTTGTTCAAAAGTACTCTAAGAGGTTCAACGGCTCCCTTATAATTATGTGCAAGGAATTTTCCTGCCCGTAGGTTCCTTTGTCGTTGGGGCTCAAAATGACCCCATGCATATTTAGATAGTCACCTCTTCTGAGAGGATTGCACAGAGCTTCAAAATGAGATGCCTTCTTCAAGAAGCCGTATCTTGTTGACGAGAAGGTAGCTCCAAAAGTAGCTACTACAGTGGGGAACAACAATTCCGCATTGAGATCCATTTCATTCTCATGCCCGTTCGAATGATTTAGGAAGACTTTCTGAAGAGCTGTATGTTGATTAATTGAATTATAATTTTTTTCATTAATTTTGTGATGAATTGATTATGTTATGGACCTATGATTATTAATTAATTATAGTTAGATAGTTTATATCTGTTAGGATTATTGTGATAGTATTAATTGTAATATATTTATTTTATTATTTGTTACCTATTATTCATTGTTCTTACAAATATATGATATATAAAAAAATAATAAGATGTGTATAGCCGAATTTTTTGTTCTGAATTTTTAGTAAATATAACATATTATATACGTACGCATCCGTATTCATATGTTTACGTTTCCTTTTGTTTTTTAAACGAATTTTAAAAAAAATATCGAATTATACTCGTATGTTTTCATATCCGTATTTTTTTCGTACCGTATTTTACTAACTATGGTGTGAGTAAGTTTTTTTTTTATTTTTTATTTTGTCAATGTAATAATAATAAATAAATAAACATTGCATCATCATGCTCTTTAGCATGAATCTAAAATTTTCCTTCTAATTCAAACGTGGGTAAAATTTTATTTTTTAATTTTTTAATAAAGAAACTTCAATTCACAATTACAGGGAAAGACAATTGTATTAGACCAGTTGTGGCTAGTTAACTATGGCCCCCTTCTTTCTTTCTTCCTTTCTTTCTTTCTTTCTTTTTTTTTTGAAATATATTGTTGCAAAATTAAAAAGAAAATACATAAAGGAGATCGAACACACATAACAAGAATATAAAATTTTTTACTTGGGTCACCAAAAATTATGGCTGCGTTCAAAGATTGTAGGGATTTCACTATGATAATCAAAACAGCAGAAAATATAAAGAGTTCAAAATAAATAAATATTCTCACACTAGAATAATATAATAAGTACAAAAATTATCAAAATACCCTTCAAAAAATCGAAGACTTTGATTATATTCTTTGTGCATTGTTGTTTCTTCTAAATGTTTGATTTCTTTTATTTATAATATATGGTGGATTGACATTAATATAATAAACACAGGTTGCCACCTTCATTCTTAGCATCCCATTAAAATAATGGAGTGATTCTGTTAAGATATACACTATTTGGTTAGTAGAAAAAGCTCAATGAAGTTGTCAACAGAACCTTACTTTTCTAGTATATAATGGGGACCCTCGCATTGCATGATGGAGGTTGGGTTGTGACATGAATCATTGTCTTCTTTGATTAAAAGTTTTTAAGTAAACATATTTCACTTGGTTTGATTTTAGAACAATGATCAACAATTTGGAGCCCATTCTAATTTTGAAAATGCATGAAAGATGTTCTTGTTCATTTCAAATTAAAATCCCTATGCTACTGACACTTTTTGAAGATAAATTTTGAATTGTAACTTCCCTGTCAAATTTACAAAGTTTACTGTTTAAATCTTTGTTTGCTATGAGAAAGAGAAACATCTTAAAATAGATAAAAGAAAGTAAGTAAGAGACGAACGAAACATCTTTAATTAGGCATGTTTGATGCGCATTTTGTTTTTGGTATTTTTATTTTTATCGAATTTGTAGCAATGAACAGTGAAAACAACACATTGATAAACACTGTTTTGTTTTGTATACTGTCAAAACATTTCGTGAATAGTGACAAAAAATCGAAAAAAAATTTTAATATTTTTATTTATTTTCGCACTGCACTATTTGGTATTGTAGCCATTTTGATATATATAAATATATAAATAAATATATCAAAATGAATATTTTTCTTCTTCGGAGAGGGATGCCTCATGCTTCCTTCCTCTTTCAGTTGTTCCCTCTCTCCTCTTTCGGTTAGAAGCATAAATCTCTGGTGAGCTTAATTAGCACTATATGGTTTTTAGTTGGAAAGATCAAAAAGGTCACACTCAGTGCCTCGGTGGATTCAGTACAGTTGAGACATTTTCAAGCCTGAGGCTAGGGTTTGGTCTGATGGGTCCCAATACACCTGTTCTGGGCCACACATACAGTACCGATGCACCAACATTGCAATTAATGGGACATTGCAATTAATGTCCAAGTGCTTCTAAAACTGTTCTCATGTTGCAACACCACCACATTGACAGTACTGAGCCACAAACAAAACACACACTGCCAATTCCTTTCCAAATATGGTTCAGTATATTCAGAATTGAACACTTAAAATTTTTTCTTCCACATTACAACTTAGAGTAATGATAGGGAGTCCCCCGTTGAATAAATCCGAGATGTGATGACATCAGGGATATTAATCACATCAATCACCACTCACATAAATCAATTGGAATTATCCGACGTCTTTCGAATTCCCAATCATTATCCTAAAACTTATATAGTAAAAGGAAACTAGAGATGCATGCTTCAATTTACAGAAAGACACCTTTGAGAAGGATAAACACGTTGTAAAAGAACCTCCCAGTATGGACAACCTTGTATCAAATACATTTCTGCAACATACATTTGTTGCTATTCATTACCCAACAAACCACTCTCCTCATAGTTCTTAACAGCGTCGACTATGGTCTCTTCTAATGGCCTAAACTTCCATCCCAAATTCTGCAACTTCTCAGAACTAATCTTCGCATCCTGCTTTACTTCAGTAAAACTGTCAAGATGTCATCAGATGCAAATATTAGTAAATTACGACTAATAATAAGAGTGCTACATGTTGTTGATGGGTGAGATTGACTTATATTCTATGCCATTAGTTTACTCCATTTTCAGCATTCCTGCAGTCAGAAGCTGTAGGATTTGATATCTGTAACATAAATAGTTCAACTTACCTTTTTGGGTAATTGTAGTTGGGATACATGCCCTTCAACATTTCCACCAAAGCCCTTGATCGAACCGTGTGTGATGAACATATATATCTCCCCTCTGCTTCAGGCTTTTCATATGCCAGGAGGATTGCATCGGCCACATCACGCACATCTACAACAATACGATCTTCGTCTTCCACAGATTCTTTTCCATCTGGTTTCCATACCAGTTCAAGGATATCAATGATAAAGTAGCAAGACATTTATACCTAATAAAGAATGCCAAATCAATCAATCCTTAAAATACATTGCAGCTAGCTTATGAGCATACACAGTTTGGCTAATGAAATTCCCAGCTATCTTTTCAGCAATTGTTTGACTGCACTTGTGTTCGTGGCAGTCCAACCCCCTCGAACACGGGACCTTGGCTCTGATACCAATTGTCGGTCCAAGCTTCCACCAGTTCTCCTAAAACCAATTGGTGTTAGAGATCGAGGGCTTCAGCTTTGTACTTTAAACTTGTGTTCGTGGTGGTCAGTCCACTGTCAGCGATTAGTCCGTGAACCTTACCAGGGTGGATTGCTTGGCTACACCAGCCAACCTTGACCAAATCCTTTGATCGGGATCTTTCACCCCATATTAGTGATCTGATGTCTGGATTACACTGATCCAATCCAGTATATAGCATCTTTGACTTTGCATAATTAATAAACAAAAACTAAATAGATGTATGTAGTTATAAATGAAAACCTTTCAAATAGTGCAGGAGAAATAAGCTACTAGCATTCACTGTGGATTGTAGCATTGGCCCTATGCAAATGGATGGACACACTGTTACAAGGTTGAGCTCATTTCTTCTTGCATACTCCAGAGCCTCACTCTCTGCTAAAGTTTTCCCAAGGCAATACCATAACTGAAATTCAATTTAAAAAGAAGCTCAATATACACTATATGTATTAAAAATTGTTGAAAGATATAAAAATTGAAGAGAGAAATTAAACATGAAGAGCACAAGGATAGGCACACAAAGTCTAAAGGGCTACATCACCTTTATTATATTCTCTCTTAATATTGTTTACAATCAGCACATCTATTTATAAGTAAAAGAATACAAGTGACAAATATGGAAAATAGATTGATGGAGGATTCCTAAAATCAATATTCTATCATAGGCTAAAATCACTCCTATGATATTCCCCAACACACCCTCTCAAGTTGGTACATGGAGATTTTAAATCAAGTGTCCAACTTGAAACTAAATATGAAGTTATCAATAGTTCAAGACGAGATGATCCGAAGATCCGAGACGAGTTAATCCAGAGATTTGAGACGAGTTAATCCGGAGATCCAAGACGAGTTGATCTGAAGATCCGAGACAAGTAGAGTATAAAGTAAGGTATGATAACCTGCTCTGAAGCCTCTGATACCATGTTGAAAGATATAAAAATTGAAGAGAGAAATTAAACACGAAGAACACAAGAATAGACACACAAAGTCTAAAGGGCTACATCACCTTTTTATATTCTCTCTTGTTTACAATCAGCACATTTATTTATAGGTAAAAGAATACAAGTGATAAATATGAAAAATATATTGACGGAGGATTCCTAAAATCAATACCATAAATCACTCCAATCAATATTCTATCATGGCTAAAATCACTCCTATGATATTCTCCAACAAAAATAAAAAAAACATTTATGCTATGTTTGGGAGCTTCGAATCGGTGCCTTGAATTTGAGATTGGAGAAAGTTTTTTTCAAAATTTTTACTAAATTTTCTCTAATCCCAAATCCAACGCGCCGATTTAGTGTTGCCAAGCATAAGATTAGTGTAATATAGATAATTGTAATTGGTGCATACTCTAGCTCTATTTTATTTTACAAGATTTAGATTTATTGGTAGTTTCCTATTAGTAGGTAGGCGGAAGGGTAAATTACAATGACACCCCCCAAGGTTTATCATAACGACAGCTATATACAAGTTGGGCTGTTTTTGAACAATGACACCCCTCAAAGTTTGATAAAGGTAACAAAGACACCCCAATGATCGCATGCCACATCTAAAGTGACAAATATACCCTTTGACTTATAAATTGACCAAATTGAATAATGAAATTACCTTTCTAACCTTTATCAATAATAAAAAAAATAAAAAATAAAAACTATCGGACCCATTTCTTTCCTTCTCTCCAATATCGTATGTTATATACACTCATGGATGTTGCCGCCGCCGCCACCAAAACCCAAATCATCAACACATATACTTCTTGGTGGTGATGGTGGCAATGATGGTGAAGGATTTAAGGACGAAGAGGGCTAAGATTTGGTGGTGGGTTTAAGGGAAAGCCCGTGGGTTTGGTGGTGGGCAATGGCGGAGCCAATTAAGGCCCAGAGGGGGCACGTGCCCCCCCTCACTTTGCTCCAACCTACTATACATAGGTACATATTTTTGGTATATATATATACTTCCATGGTAATTTAAATAGTGCCCCTCCTCAAATTTTCAAATTCTTTTAATTTCCTTTTGAAAAAAAAAAAAATACATATATTCTTTCTTCAAATATACAATATATTTTTCCTTTTTTAATTTTTGTTTCCTTTTTCAAAAAAATTCTTTTTTCGCTTATGTATAATTATGTATTTTTCTATTTTTTTAAACTTATTTCTTTTTATCGATGACATTTGTGATTGTATTTAATTAAAATATTATTAATTAATATTTTAATTCTTATATTTGTAACTATATTTTTTTATGGTATTTATTTAGCATATTATTTTACAACTATTTTTTTTCTTATTTGCCTTTTTGATTTAAAAAAAATTATATTGTCATATTTATTATAAAAAAAAAAAAAAATTAACAAGTGCATTGTGCCCCCTATGAACTAAAATCCTGGCTCCGCCCCTGGTGGTGGGTTTGTTAGGGTTAGGGTTTGGGAGGCCGTGGTTGTTCTTGTTTCACCATGAAGTTTGTCGTACCTGAAACTTACCGGAACTTCACTGGTTTGGACGGTGATGATCAGAAGTTCATTGTAGCTCTTTACCGAACTGACGCATGCCGAATGTTCATGGTATCGGTTTAGTCCGCTAAAGCTTTTAGGCTGAGATGATGGGTTTGGTGTTGAACCGAGAGATGATGGATAATGTTTGTTGTTGGGTACTGATGCTCTGAAGCTCGCCGAAAATGATATTGATTGGGATTTCGATTGAAAAGATGTTATGTTGGTTCCTCATGTGCCTAATAAGTAATTAGGCGAACCACCACCCACCTTCATCACCATCCACCGCTAATGGAGTCGCCGTATGCTGCTGTGGCGACGGCCAGGGGGGGGGGGGGACAAGCCGAATTGTTCTTCCTACCGATCTCCGAGATCAGCAATGCAGAGGTCGGTACTAGGAAGTAAATCAAGGACAAGAGTGAGGAACTCCGGCAACTTGTCAGCAATCGGTAACGCGATCTTAGGGTCCGTTTACTAACGCTTTCACTTTCTTATTTTTATTTTCTCCAAAAGTAAAATAATGATTTTGATTTATTCAAGTGAAATAAAAAGTGAAATCATATTCAATAATTTTTTCTATTTTCAATATTTTGAAAGCAAAAACATAGAAAATAAGTTCAATAAATTATAATTTTATTTTTGTTTTTGTGGTCATCTTTCTCTCTCTGAAAAAGGTATCTGGGTTTGATTATAATTGTTTAGCTTCCTCAATGGTGAACTAAGAAAGCATAAATTTAGCAACATAAGCATAGACAAAGTGAGGGCCTGAAACACAATATAACATTATTCAATTAGGTCCAGAGAACCCACATTCTCAATCATCCCCTTTTCGACCACCAATTTCAGCAGAAGCAAAGGGGGGCAATACTTTGCAACTTCGAAGGGAAGATGGAGTTCGCCAGTTCTGGGTTAGAGAAGGGAAGATGAATTCTAGCGGCAGCACCATCACCACCATCACCGATATGATGTCATTTTGGCCTGATCGTCTCTGCTTCGCCGGGTTATGGCGCTGGGTACTCTTGTCGTCAATCGTCGCACCTCTCGTTGTCTTTGTTCAGATGGCTGGATTTTTGGATTTTTAGTCTTTGTTTCGTGGTTTGATACTGATATAGAGAGGTGGTTGAGAGGAATTAATTGGTATATACTTGATTGATATAGAGAGGTGGTTCACTATATATATGTATATATCATCACTCTGCAAAATTTTCTAGAGAAAGAGAGTGATTAGAATTTAGATGAGGCCAAAGAACCTCTGAGGGTCAACTTTGATGTGGCGATGATGGCGGTGGTTGTCAGCAATGGCGATGGTGGCGGTGGTTGTCGACGGCGAGGGTCTGTATTTTTTTTTTCTGTGACTGGTTGAAGTTGATTTGGGTATATTGTTGATGGCTTTTGATGTGTATGAGAGAGGAGAGAGATGGTTGTGGCAGTGGCTACAGTGGGAGGTGGCGGCAATGGCAATGACCATGGTGGGGAGGAGGTGGGTGATAAAATGACCGATTAGAATTCATTTATTATTATTTTTTTTTTGATAAATAGTGCTACAGGAGGGAAAGTAATTTCTGTAAACAGTGTAGAAAATAGAGAGAGTGAGTTCTCACTTTCTCTTCTCTTCACAAAATTAGAAAGTACTTTCTTAAAGTAAAAAAGTGAAAATACTTTATTAAACATGATTTTTGCTTTTGATTCTCAATTTTAGAAATTAACAATAGAAATCAAGAATTATTCTTGTTAGTAAACAGGCCCTTAGCGACTCCGCCGACTCCATCATCTAAATGAAAGCCTCATGCGTGCTCATATTCGCCAATCTCCACTCCCTCTCCGTCGAAACCCCCAAATTCACTGTCTCTTCACTCCCTCTTGTGTAAATGCTCTTTTATTTTATTTTTGTGCTATTGTAATTTTTTTCCCTATATTTGTATTATATATATACCTTTGGTGTTGGTAGTGATGGTGGACGGTGGAAGTGGAGATGGAAGTGAAGTTGGGGTTGGTGGTCGGTGGAGGTGTGTTGTTTGAGTTTAAAATATACACATATATTTATATATATAATATACTATATATTTATTTATACGGTAAATTACACTGACACCTCCTTAGGTTAGGTCAAATCTCACATAAATGGACATTTTGGTTTTAACTCACTCACGTTTGGAAGAGTTGATCCGCATTTCACTCACACCCCAAAAGTCACTTTTCAGTAGTGCTAGAGTACTTTTTACATATAAAATGACAATCCTACCCTTTTGACCTTGTGATGACTTTGTTTCATGTATAAAATGACTTAATTATCCCAAAAGACTCATTTAAATGACCAAAATATCCTAAAATTTATCCTCTCTCTTATTCTCTCACTAAGTGCATAAAATATGGGGAGATTTTTTTGGGACAAAAATATCCTTAACTTAATTTGCCACCTCATTGAAAATATGGACAATTATGTAATTTCAAGATAAAAGAGATCAGACACCGGTACGTTTTTCTCTCTCTTGTTCTCATCATCTCTTCTTCTCTCAAGACGCCACTCTTTTTTCTCTCTATTTCTCACATTTTATCTCCAATTGCTGCGAACTCCACTGACTTGAACCCTATCATCACTGCCACAACCATTTACATCGTTATACTCCTCCCATCGCCACCATTACTAGACAAACTTCTTCTACGCTATTATGGAACCAACCTCTCCGTCGCTGCCGTGAGATGATTTTTCTTGTTCAAGAATCGAATCTGATTTCTTCTAATTTGGTTCAATTAATTCAATTGATGTTTGGATTCTATTAAAACAGTGAGTGCTTTGTTTGTATGATTTTGTATTTTCAATGAAATTCTTCCGTTTATTTGGCGTCAATTTGGTGGCGGTGGAGGTTGTGAGGTGATAATTGTGGCGGTGGTTGTGGGGGTGATGGTGGTGGTGGTGGTTGCAGGGCGGCGTTGTTGCTAGTATTCTCCATCTAGTTTGTTTTCAGAACATTCTACAACTATGGTCCTGTAAAAATGGATTATTAGGAATGAAATTCTATTGTAATTGAAGACTGCTTACCCAAAAAAAATTCTATTGTAATTGAAGACTTCATCTTACTTGAAGTAGATTATGAATTCTTTTTTTTTTTTTTCATTTTATATATATTTTAAAGTGAAAGAGCTTAAATATTAGGCTTCATTGTATAGCTACAACATGGGTGTGCCTAGTCTTAACCCCATAGAATTGTATTGGGAATCTTCATGTTGTCTTGCCTTATGTATTTGGTGATACAACTTGTGAAGATAATACGAAAAATTGCAATCTTAGTTGATTTATATTATTTTCGGGTTATTGAGGTTGATGTTCAACTAGGTGATTTATGCAATGTTTTTGTGAATAGATAGAGAGAGAGAAGAACAATGTGTAAATAAATAGAGGAGAGAGAAAGAGAGAGTTATTTGGTGTGTGGGTTTTCTATATAAAATAGAGGCATTTTTGTAATTTAAGATTACATATATTTGGTATTAAAAAAATGGGGGTAAATGGGTCAATTCTCATGTGTCAGGGCTCAAAAAGTAATTTGGGGTGTACTTGAAAGTTAAAACCAAAATATCCATCTAGGTAAAATTTGACCTAACCTCAGGGGGTATCAGTATAATTTGCCCTTATTTATATATATATATATATATATATAAAAAGAGAGAGAGAGAGGGGCTTTTGATGAAAGAAGGCGAGAGAGGTTAGAGAGACTGGTGAGATTTACTGATGGGCCTATCAAGGGTAAAAGCGTCATTTAAGAATTATGATATTTAATAATAAAATATTTAAGGGTAATATTGACTTTTCACATCTTTTAAGGGTTATTTGGATCCATTTTTTGATAGGGGTTGTCATTGTTTGACAAACCTTAAAAGGTGTCATTGTAATTTACCCTAGGCAGAAGCAAAAAGGTTAGCCAGGCTATAAGAAGGTTCACTAATAAAAATCATATAGAAAAATCTATAAATAATGGTTGCAAAATTCCCTTTTAAAATCTTATTTTTCATAATAATGTGAAAAACTTGCAATCAAATACCTTAAGTGTTTTGCAATGTTCCCCATCCGTCCAACAGTTTTCGTCCATGGCCTGATCCTTGGGCCAATTAGGGTTCACCATAACCGCACCAACAGATGACACAACCACAACCTTTTTCACCTTAGCATTGAGACATGCATTTAATACATTCCGCGTACCTGTAATAGCTGGTTCCAGGAGTTCTGCCTGTGCATGCACACAATCAGATCAGTTTAATATTTACACTGTTGTAATAAGTAAGATTTAGTTTGATCTATATGGCATGATTTGATCTGTACCAAATGTTACTTGTCATTTAGCTGAAGAGTAAAGTATACACTATTTATGGTGCCCAAAGCTTTCACAAAAACAAGTAGATTATCCAATTAAAGAGGAAAGTGTTAAAAGTACAAATTTAAAATGAGTTTGAGGGTGATTAATTTGATGAGTAAGAATCTTGCCTCGGGATTAGGCACGTCACGGACAGCAGGAACTGGACAGGCAACGTGGAGAACCCCGGTGCATCCAGCAATGGCAGCACAGAGACCTTCATAGTCTAGCAAGTCTGTCTTGAAGAGTTGCAGATTTTCCGTAGCATTTTTCAGTTTCTTCAGATGACCATTCTTTTTTTCATCACCTAGAAACCATTTTTTTACCGAAAACTTGCAATTAATTGCAGCAGACAACAGAGACCAATAAATGGTATTCCATAGAGCAAGGATAAAGAATTACATCAAAATCAAAAACAAGTTTTTGATTCTGATATGAATTATAGGATCAACTAAGATCAACAAGTTGGTCTAATGAAATAAGAACTCACTTTTGTGGGTTGGAAATTTTATTTCCAATCTTGGAATCAAATAGAAGATGAAGGCTCTAAATCTATATATTATCTAAGAATCAATAGTCAAAAGTAGCAAAAAGGCAATCAAATAGAAGATGTTAAAAAAAAAAAAAAAAAAGAAGCAGCAAGGGTCATGTAAGATAATTGGATACATAATCTAAAGAGTTCGAGTTCTAGTTGCTAGAGAGAGATGATTGTGAATTTGATATAGTATATCCAAAGAGTTCAAGTTCAAGTAAGTATATGTTGCATTCAACATTCTAAATTTGGAAAAGTCGTGAACAAATCGAGGTTTTAAGAGGAATTTGACAAAGTGAAAGGAAGGGAAGGGATTCTAAATTTGGAAAAGTCATGAACAAATCGATAAGTTCTAACACTATCAATCTGTAAAAATAAACTACATATATCTATATATTTGGTGAAAGTAAAGGCAGAGGAGAAGGGTACAATTACATACAAGGGTCTCTAACAGTTCCATGGACCATGTAGCCATTTGAAAGGAGAAACTTCACCACCCATGATGCCACGTATCCTCCTGCACCTGTTACACATACTCTTTCTTTCTCAACACACTGCGCCATCTCTCTCTCTCTCTCTTAAATCTCTCTCTTTCTTTATCTGCTAACTGTAATATATATATATATATATACACACACCTGGGCTATAATCTACAAGCCTTACAATCCCCTTGCCTACGAGTGGACATAAATATACGACAAAACTGTTCTTTATTTATTTATAATAATAATTATTATAATAGAAGTAATAGTATTGCTAGCAAGTAGCATCGACTCACGACTCGTAAATTATATGAATTATGTATAAATATATTATTAAAATTTTGTTTCAAAATTTATTAATAGTAAATTATATGAATTAGTAAAATATTTATATATTTTTTAATTTTTTATTCAAATTAAACTACCTTAGACAGTCTCTTTAAAATTTTCAATTGTGTGTATATATATATATATATATATATATATATAATGGACAGTATCATTTTAATATTGTTTGGGTGACGTTATAATTTATGTGCTATTTTTCGTAATAATAATATATTAATTTACAGAAAAACTTATGACAATGAGATCTATCGATGCTATTAAATTAACCTCACTCTTTTAACTTGTTGCATCTCATTTCTTACACCAGCCTTAAGCTCAATCATTTTATTATTTGTGTTAATATATATATATATATATATTATTTAACAGAAACTCAATTGATGTGGCAAATCATTCAGTCATTTTCTTCGTACAATTTGAGTAATCAATAATTCAAAAATCAAAACAAAGGAGTGTGAAAGCAAAGTTCAACGCGTCCATTATCTACATTATTCCAACACTTTCTATTTGACATGGTGGTATAAAAGTGACACAATGTACAAGGCTTTTTTGTAACTCTTTTTCTTAACCATATCCAATGAGGGCCGATTACAACAGCAGCCGATCATATGGAATCTTCAATTATTAATGAAATTCGATACCTTCAATCAAAAAGGGCCAGCCAAGGTGTGGTACTAGTTTAGCGGTGGGCCGTATATTGTTTGGGATTTTTGTTCATGTTTAAAAGTCATCAACATCATTCCTCTTCCTCCTTTAACCCCACTAATTATTGTCAGGTCAAAAAATTGGAAAGAAAAGAAAAAAAAAAAAAAAAACCTCTTATTAATTCAAAATAAAATGATAAGTGTTTATATAACTTTTATATATATATATCATTACTATTATAAAAGTCTAAATTTTTTTCTTATTTCTAAATATTTTTATTATTTTTTTAAAATCATCATTTAACATTTAATAAGGAATTTAAAGATAGTATATCTATCTATATTTATATCTATATCTAAATCTATCCATATCTGTATCTTTTCCTTATTTATAATTATTTTTATTTATATATCTATATCTATGCATATTTATATCTTTTCATTATTTTCAAATAATTTTACTATAATTTTTTAAAAATCATAATGTGACATTTAAAAATATTTTTTATATTTTTAAAATACAATCATTATAATAACATACGATGACCAGAATTTGTCCCTTGGCGATAAGTTGGCTGATGCCCCTCTCGTCTCCGCTCTTCTTTACTGAAGGTTGACCGAGTTCAGCCACAAATTCAGTACTCTTGCTGGCCCAATTCGGATTCTTCAACTGTAGGCGTATATCTTTTTGCTTACTTCCATATTTGATCTCCCTGGCATCAATCCAAATTCATTTTCCAATGTTAGAACGCGTCACCAACCTGATTTTTCTTCTTCCACAATATACAACATGTGTATAATAATAAGGGTAAAAATATAGCAACATTTCATTTGGTTTGCCAAAAGAACACACTTATATAAGTTATCGATTTTTTGAACAATAACACTCCTTCAAGGTTCAAAAGTAGATAAAGGCATCCCATGCAATCAACCGGCATGAAAAATTGATCAAATTGCCCTTTGACCGTTTAGTGGACCTTTTAACTTTTATAAGTTAATAAATTAGACCAATCTACTTTTCATGAACAATTTACGCATAAAAAGAAGGGTAGAATGCAAAAAAACCCCTCTGGACTATGGAGAAATCTGCAACTAACCCCTGAACTTTAAAAAATGCAAGAAACCCCCTGAACAATGCAAAATTGTTGCAGATCACCCCATCTGTTCAAGGTCCGATGATATATGATAATTAAAATTGGTTTCTTAAATTTAAATGACCATATTACCCACATAAGCGTGAAAGGACAATAATACCCTTAATTTTCAACCATTAGACCCAAACCGACCCGAACAATCCTTATCAAAATTTTCCCAAATTGACAGCTCTCCAACTGTTAGGGTTTGTCTTCGTTTTCAAATAACTGTGCTTCTTGGTGATTTTGGTGGTCAGAAACAAGATAACATCATTGAAAAAGATGATTATGATAGGAGGCTGGCACAATGTTGGAAGCCATCATTTAATCGGATTTTTCGCCGTCGTCGTGTCAATTTTGGTTCCCTTACTTTCTTTCTCTAGCAGAACTGTCTCTCTACATATATATATATATATATATATATATATATATGAACAAACCCCTAATGCAATTTTGTTGCCAAAAAAAAAAAAAAGGGGGAGAAAAAAAATGGTAACTCAGATTCTATTGGAAGGAAAAAAAAGATAAAAATGGTAATACAAACCATATAAATACAGGTAAATTATGGTAGTAACTATTTTATTTTGGTAATCCAGAAACACTGAAAATAAAATTATATATATGATAGTAAGTAATATACAAGGACAGGAAAGATACTTCCCAAGCAATCTGTTTTTTTTTTTTTTTTTTTTTTTTTTTTTTTTTTTTTTTTTATCTAGAAATACCGGGTGCAAACGCGGGGATGTGAGACTTGGGACCGGAAGAGAGACCTTCACTAAAGGCACTCGCTGATCTAAGGGTCCTGGACCTTCTCTAGTAGGATCCTAGATTGTGCAGTTAGACTCGCAGGTGACTCGAGTCAGCACGGGAGCCCATGCAAAGAGAGCTTGAAGTTCACCGGAAGTGAACAAGGTTACAGTGGTGGCCCATTAGCCGGATTCTATGATAGAGTAAAAGAGAGAACATACTTTATCTCGTTGATGTGCTTTCGATCTCCCATTGGCCGTTAAGATTTTGTTGCCACATCAGCAAGTTAATATTGACAATGCTTTATAATGTTATTTATCTTTTTCCGGTTACCTGATGGGGGTAATATACAACAAAGTTCAAGAGTTTTTTTAAGTTGAGAGGAGTTAGTTGCAAAACCCCATAGCTCAAGGGGTTTCTTGCATTTTCCCCCTAAAAAAAATGTCATTGTCGGCATCGGATTTTGCTTAAATAATCCGTAAACCATCCGCTCTTTGCCGGAATCTAGCGGCGGCGGTCCAAGGTCCTCAATGTAACCAGCCTCTTCTTCAGCACATTTGATGCGCCAACAAGCATACAAGCGCTACTGCGCGTAAATCTAACTCTCTATCATCTCCATGCTCTTTTTAGGCCACCTCGGCACACTGAACTCGCCGCCAGCTCTCTCTGTTGGAAATAGTGGCCTAGTTACACACACAACACTATACTATTTGGAAGAGAATAGAAATGGAGGAAAAAATTTCTTATTTCACTTGATGGAAAATGAGTACAATGCATGGGTTTATATAGGCTTCAAAACATAAATGTAAATGAAACTTAAAACCCCACTAACATATCATTTAGTAGGCAAAACTCCCACTAACCCACTAACATGACCATTTAGTAGGCAAAACTCCCACTAACCCACTAACATGACCATTTACTAGTTGTAACTCTCATGCCCCCCACTAACTCCAATAAAAAACTCACATAAATGTAAAACACTAAATAAAATAAAGTTTAATTTCTAACACCCCCTCTTAAACTTGATTTTTTTTCAACTCCAAGCAAACTCCTAAACTTGTGAAAATCTGCAAACTTGAGGGGCTTGGTGAAAATATCCGCAACTTGATCTTGTGACTTGATGAACTTGAGCTCCACCTCCTTCTTAGTTATACATTCTCTAATGAAATGAAATCTTGTATCAATATGCTTGCTTCGTTCATGAAACACCGGATTCTTGGCCAAAGCAATTGCTGATTTGTTGTCCACAAAAATCTCCGTTGACTCTTCTTGTAGCATGTGTAATTCCTTCAACAAATTCCTCAACCAAATTACTTGACAGACACATGAAGTGGCTGCAACATATTCTGCTTCACAAGTTGAGAGGGTGACAATGGGTTGCTTCTTTGAACACCATGTAAAAGCAGTATTTCCCATGAAAAAACAATAGCCTGAAGTACTTTTTCTATCATCCAAATCTCCGGCCCAATCACTATCACAATAACCCACAAGCTTGAAATCATTAGAAAATGAATAGAATAACCCAAAATCAAGGGTACCTTTGATGTAACGAAGAATCCTCTTAGCCGCCTTGAAATGAGTTATGGTGGGTCTTTCCATAAACCGACTAACAAGCCCAACCACAAATAATATGTCCGGCCTTGTGCATGTTAAGTATCTCAAGCTTCCAACAAGACTTTTGAAAAATGTTGGATCCACCGTTTCTCCATCTTCATCTCTTGACAATTTAATTCCAACTTCCATGGGCGTGTTCACCAATTTACAATCTTCCATCTTGAAATTCTTAAGAATTTTCTTAGCATAGCCTTCTTGGTGAATGAAAATTCCATCCTTCATTTGCTTGACCTCAATGCCAAGATAATAAGCCATGATGCCAATATCTGTCATCTCGAACTCTCGAGCCATAACCTTCTTGAAATCTTCAAACATTTTTGGATTGCTACCTGTGAAGATTAAATCATCCACATACAAGCAAACAAAAAATACATCTCCATTCTCACTTACTTTGGAGTAAAGAGCATGCTCATATGGGCACTTTGAAAAATTATTGTCTTGAAAATATTTGTCAATTCGCTTATTCCACGCTCTTGGTGCTTGCTTCAAGCCATATAAAGCCTTCTTCAATTTCAAGACTCTGTTTTCTTGCCCCTTTACAACATAGCCCATGGGTTGTTGAACATACACCTCTTCTTCAAGAAACCCATTCAAGAAAGCCGATTTCACATCCATTTGGTGGATTCTCCAATTGTTCTGGGCTGCCAAAGAAATTAA